TGGGAAAGTGCCAGTTTTCGATTGCAAAACAGATGAGTGGGTGGTACACGTAGCACAACTAAACAACTTCTTTATTGCAAATGGAATCGACGATATCACAGATGCTCAAAGAGTGAGAAGACGGGCAATTTTATTGAATAGCATGTCACAAGACTCGTATCGTCTTACTCGTGATTTATTGTATCCAAATACGCCTGAATCAACCGATTACAAGGCGATTATTGCTGCGCTTGACGGCCACTTCGACCCAAAAAAGTGTATATACGCTGAAAGACAAAAGTTTTATTCGGCTAAAAAGGACCCTCACGAGTCGATGGTGGAGTATGCTGCTCGTCTTCGTGGACTAGCATCGGCATGTTGTTTTGGTACAGCTCTAGAGATGTGTTTGACGGATCGTTTTGTACTTGGTCTTGACACTGCGTCGGCCCGAGAAAAATTATTTAGAGAAGATCCCAATCAGCTAAAACTAAATAAGGCACTTGAAGTAGCTTGTGCAGTAGAAAGTGCGCAGCGTATTGTTTCCGCTGGCGATTCGGCAGAGTTAATTAAGTCTGAACCTGTGCTATATACGGACTCGCAGCGAAAAGCTACTGCAAGCGGCGGTACACGAGGCGGTCGCGCCCGTGGTGGCGGCGACGGCGGAGCCCCCAGGTGTAGTGTGTGTGGTGCGAGGTCACACGATACCTCCGTATGTGGCTATCGTCATCTGTCGTGCAATTTGTGTGGTGCAAAAGGGCATTTAAAAAGAATGTGTTCTAAGAGATACTACGTACATAACGAGATTACAACCAAAAAGGACAAAATTGTGAAAAAGCAGCATAATGGTATGCAGAATAATTACATTTTGGAAGGTAGTGATAGGGACGAATGTAATGATTTTTCACCAATTAATAATGTTAGAGATATAAATAATGAATCACGTATTAATACTATTTTATGTAAGGAAGAAAAACCGATATCTCTTGAAGTTATAGTGCGAGGTGTTACTCTTTAGTATGGAGGTTGATTCCGGTAGTGGGGTATCAGCGCTGCCGGCGCGCATATGGTATATGTATTTCTCGCGAAACTTGTCACTCGGTGAGTCCAATAAAACTTTATATACATACAGTGGTTCTGCTTTAAGGCTATTGGGCATGTGTTACTTACCAGTCACATATAATAATGTAACGCATAATATAAAATTTTATGTTGTTGAAAATGGCCCGGTTCCCTTGCTCGGTAGGGACTTTATGACAAAATTTAATTTCGCTTTTATCTCATTAAATAATTGTTCAGTAGATAAAGAAAAATTTATTTTGTCGAAATATAAAACATTATTTTCTGGTGGGTTGGGCACGTTCAATAAGTATAAGTTAACGCTACACTTAAAAGAAGGTGTCACACCAAAATTTTTTAAAGCTAGGCCGGTGCCTTTTGCGCTCAAAGATAAGGTAAGCGCAGAGTTGGACCGATTAGTGCGCGCTGGCATACTCAAACCGGTTTCTTATTCTAATTACGCGTCACCGATTGTTGCAGTATTAAAGAAAAATAATGACGTACGTATTTGCGGCGATTATTCCATGACGATCAATAAGGCCCTAATAATTGACTCTTATCCATTGCCCAAAATAAGTGAGTTATGTGCATCGTTACACGATTGTCGTTACTTTAGTAGGCTTGATTTATCAAATAGTTATAATCAGTTCCTTCTAGATGATGAGTCACAAAAATATACATGTATCAATACGCATAAAGGTCTTTTTGTTTATACAAGATTAGTGTTCGGTTTGTCAAATGCGCCAGCTTTGTTCCAGCGTGCTATGGTGCAACTGCTGCAGGGCATAGATGGCGTGGAGTGTTTCCTCGACGACTTGTTAATCGCGGCTCCGACCGCCGAATTACATTGGGAACGTGTCGATTTGGTACTAAGTCGTCTAAGAGACGCCGGGCTAATGCTCCAGCGCTCGAAATGTTCATTCTTCCAAAATAAAATAGAATATTTGGGTTTTGTTATTGATCGTTTTGGCCTTCATAAAAATCCGGATAAAATAAAGGCTATTACACAAGCAAGGGTGCCAGGAAACGTCCGACAATTAAAATCATTTTTGGGTTTAGTTAACTTTTACCGTAGCTTTATACCGCAAGCGGCGGTCATTCTTGAACCATTACATAATTTACTGCGAAAAAATATGAAATGGGAATGGACGGCGAAACATCAGAAATCATTCGATGCTATCAAAGACGAGTTATGTTCAAGTCGCGTACTGGCGCACTTTGACCCGCGGCAGCAGCTGGTTCTGACAGTGGATGCGGCCCCCGGCGGGCTAGGCGCGGTGCTCGCGGCGCGCTACCCCGCGGGTGCCGAGCGCCCGATCAGTTACGCTTCGCGTGCTCTCACTAAAAGTGAGCGTGGCTATAGTCAAATTATGAAAGAAGCGACTGCCATTATTTATGGAATCAAAAAATTCCATCAATATCTTTATGGCCGCCAGCAACCATTTATTTTGAGAACAGACCACAAGCCCCTCCTTTCTATTTTCTCCCCCGATAAAGGAGTTCCTCATATGTCCGAAGCGAGACTGCAACGGTATGCTTTATTTCTGGCTGCCTATAATTATAAAATTGAGTTCATTAATAGTGAATCTAATGTAGCGGATTATTTGAGTCGGTTTCCCATTGATTGTGATTCGTCGCAGGATACGGCGCACGTAGATGACGTCACCAGTTATGTTAACGCGCTAGCGGCTGCTGGCGCGCCACTGCCCGCTTCATTAGACGAGCTGCGGGCCGCTTTTCATAAAGATAAAGTTCTGTCACTTGTCATGCAATATGTGACCAAATCGTGGCCACGGAAAGTGTCATCAGAACTTTTGCCATATAATAGATGCCAGCATGAATTATATGTTGATAGCGGAGTTCTCATGAGAGGTCACAGAATTGTAGTGCCTACTGTTTATAGGGCTGCTGTGCTACAAGAACTGCATGCTGCGCACTTAGGAGTAATTAAAATGAAAATGATTGCTAGAGAACGCTGTTGGTACCCGGGTATCGACAGCGACATAGAAAACATGGTTTCTAACTGTGGTCGTTGCATATCCTTGCGACCATCTCCTGCGAAAGCGCGCTTGGAGTCGTGGGGGTGGCCTGACTCTGTTTTCGGAAGAATCCATTTAGATTACCTCGGCCCAATTCATGGGAAGATTTTTCTTGTACTAGTCGATGCGCATAGTAAATGGATTGAATGCGAATTAATGTCAAATTTTTTATCAAAAGAACTTATCAATAAATTAAAAAAAATTTTTTCACGTTTCGGCATTCCCAATAAAATAGTCACAGACAATGCCAAAACCTTTGTTTCGTCTGAATTTTCTAAGTACTGTACTGATAATGGCATAACTCACATTTTATCTCCTGCGTACTCGCCACAGAGTAATGGACTCGCCGAGAACGCAGTAAAGACTTGTAAGCGGTTTATTGTGAATGCTATCAAGGATTGTGGGTTTAAAGACTTCGCTAATCACTTAGATAACTATTTGTTTCACTATCGGAATACACCGCATTGTACGACGGGAGTATCACCTGCATCGCTTATGTTCGGTCGGAATTTACGTTGTAAACTTGATTTAATCGCTGTTAAGCGTTCAAATTTAGATCGAAAACCTCTAATACATAAAAATGTGTTAGTGAATCAAAATCGTCAAAAATTATATTTTGGTGGTAAAATTAAAGCATTTTCGATTGGGGAGAAAGTTTGGGTACGAGACTATAGAGCCAATCCCAAAAGACCAACATGGATCCTTGGCCAGGTCGTTGCACGCTTAGGTAAAGTTCTATATGATGTGACGATACAGAGATCCGATATCATTTGGAGACGTCATGTGAATCAGTTAATGTCAGCCAAATCACATAACAGCAGTCGTGGTGAAGCGGCGTGGACGTTTGAGGATATGGACGTTGGGAGCACGGCAGGTCCCAGTGCCTCTCATGATACACCTGCATCATTACCTCTCAATAGCCCAGGTGGTGCGCTAGCCGCACAACCACCGGGACCTGACGGCGGTGAGGCGGCACCGGTGCTGACTCACGCGGAGTCTGACATGGGAGACGTGTCCCCACCGCCTCAAACCTCCACGACCATGCGCACTCGATCTGGCCGCGCTATTAAACCACCTAAACGCTTAGTTTTATAATATTTATACTTACTAAATCTAATGTAAACATTTGTTTTGTTTATAATTGTTTTTTTGTGTATTCTTAATAAACGTAGAGGAGAGGTGTTAAAGTCGAGTGATTAATGTCATTTTTTTATTATACATAAAACAATGTATGTATTGTAGTATATGTGTTTTTGATTTTTTTTATGCTAAAATTGTGTAAGCGCAACATGTCCATCAATTATACATAAGGCATAGTTGGTTGCTTCCCAAATAAAATGTGGTACTTAATCATTAATTAGGTATAATGCTTATATATTGTATATTACGTTGTAATCTAAGTGTGGAGGGATGTAGCATATTGTGTCGGTAGATAATAATAACGGGTTCTACGGCTACCCTGTATTGTGTGAATAAATGATCGTTTACGGGTTCAGTGTGTTTAAATAAACGTTCCCCGTATTCCTTGAATAGCAAGGACATTACAGTAAGTTAAGTGTTACATTTGGCGTAAATTTAAAATATGATGATCTTACAACTTAACCACCCTTTTCGGGTATTACAATAATAGGTCTGCGAGTTACATAACTATATTGATCATAATTAATCAAAATTATAAAAAAAATTACATTACTTAGCTATTATATAATTCTAATTAACAAATTGGTGTTTTTTTAGCTAAATACTCTTTAAAACACGAAGCCCGCACACAACGAACGAATCGCGCTTTTACTCTTTTGCTGGTTTACTTGACCCGTCCATGTACAGCAGTTCAAACTCGAGTTAGGGAGAACCAACTCGAGTTAATAACTCGAGTTGACCCATCACTACTTGTTCTTTCATTTCATCTATTGATTGACGACGGGTGGAGGCGTTCGTTCGATCGCTTGGTGTTCACGTCATCATTTATACTCAAATGTCTTATTTTTGCATCACACATGCTTAGGGGTAACCGAATAAGAAAAAAATCGAAGAATCCCGCCTGTACCAGAAGATAAGTACGTGTGCTAATAGGCGTAAATGTAAACTAGAAAGTGTGTGAACGAAGTCGCGTGGTGTCTCGTCCGTCCGGTTTGATCTGGATTTTAGCAGTTTGAACCGCGAGTTGGGACTCCCTTTCCCTCTTAATTAATTTATTAATACAATTTAGTGGTGTGTTTTACAAACTTTAACGATTATTTATTAGTATTTTTTAGTGATTGTGTGGTGCATTAGTTAATTTAAGCCGTTTCAAAATGTCTGAAGAGTCATCAGCGGATCGCAATGTCGAAATTTGGAAAATCAAGAAGCTGATCAAGAGCTTGGAGATGGCGAGAGGGTGAGTTTTTGAATGAAATATTTAATTTCGATAGGAGTCGTGTGGTTTTGTAACATGTTCTTTGTATGGTATGTTATTGATTATTTCGTTGGCGAAATTGCCAACACGGCTGCGTCATTTGTACGTCTGGTCTGGACACATGCGCGTGCTGCATGCGCGGATATTAGAGGTGTCCATTTTGAAAATATATCGATGTTTTTTTTCGATGTGATGCATCGAGAATGTGCATCGATGTATTTCGATGCATCGGTTAGAAACATCGATGTTTTTGTAACATCGAGTACTTTTTATTACTTTATATTATAAATCTGTAGTCATCTTCCTGACACTCCATTCAAACAACCGCCAATTTTGAATGATCTACTCTTAATCGGCACTGTCTTTGTCCGCAGTCCGCACACCTTTTGTGTGTGTGTGTGTGTGTGTGTGTGTGTGTGTGTGTGTGTGTGTGTGTGTTTGTGTGTGTTTGTGTGTGTTCAAGGATGTTAGACAGTTATATAGATATTCTTTATTGCACGAAACATAAAGTATCTTAATCTTAAGAATTAATGTCTTTATGTATTTATTTAATTTTTATTTTGTTTTTATTCTATATTGCTACACCTACGTCAAATTCTCACCACTCCATGGGTTGACTGGTAGAGAATGCCTCAAGGCATAAAGTCCGCCCTTTGTATTCTTTTATATTAAGGAATACAATAAAGAATAAATAAATTATTATTTATGATCATTGACCTACTACTAAATGGACGGCGGGCCTAGAACAAAATACACGAAAAATGTGTCCCGAGTCAACCTATATAAGCGTATTATATATACAATTTTAATTGCGACAATTTAGCAGCCTTTCAACTTCAACCAGAAACTGTTATCATCTTATGCAGCTTCTAGCGAAAATTATCGGTACGGTATGATTTTTAGTTTTTACAATTAATGTGAATTTAATTTAAATACTAATCTATGCAAAATATTACTTTTAAATGATTAAATATTAATAGTCCTTATCGAAAATATATATAAACTAGCTGTTCCCCGCGACTTCACTCGCGTGTTAGGGTTTTTATGTTTTTGTGCGGAACCCTAAATACTTTTCTAAAATAAATGTAGCCTAAGTAACTCCTTATGAAATCAGCTATCTGCCGGTGAAATTCCCGTCAAAATCGGTCCAGCCGTTTCGGAGATTACGCGGAACAAACAGACAGACAGACAGACAAACAAAAATTTTAAAAATTGTATTTTAGTCTTAAGTACTTACCGTATTGGCAAATACCCCCCTATGAATGACAGTAACAAAGAAACGGCCCCCAGTCCCCGGCGGCCCCGCTATTCCTGGCTACGGTGGCGACCATGGTAACGGCGGGGCAGGGGGTGCTAAGAATCTCCGGTGGAGGTTCGGTTGCCACCTTAGACGACTCGACCTGGCAACGTACAACGCACGCACCCTGAGGACTGACGAGAAAATCGTTGAGCTGGAAGAAGAGATGAACAAGTTGCGCTGGCATATAATAGGATTATCCGAAGTCCGAAGAGAGGGGGAGGACACGGTAATCCTCGAATCCGGCAACTTGCTCTATCACCGGGAGGGCGACCATCTGTCCTAAGGAGGCCGACACCTCCTGTCGGATCGATTTCGTGGTGTCGGATTTATCGTCCACAAGTCTCTCGTTAACAACGTTGTAAAGATCGGGAGTGTGTCGACGAGGGTTGCGTACCTTATACTCAGAATCACCAACCGGTTTTCGCTGAAGGTCATACAGGTTTACGCACCAACCTCGGCACACCCCGATGAGGAGGTGGAGGAAATGTATGAGGATATCTCTAGAGCCATGCATTCCTCCAAAACCCAATATACGGTGTTAATGGGAGACTTTAATGCAAAACTAGGCACAAGAGAGAACGGTGAGCTGAAAGTAGGGAAATTTGGAATAGGGCAACGGAACCCAAGGGGCTAGCAGCTGGCCGACTTCATGGAGAAAGAGGGACTCTTTATGATGAACTCTTTCTTCCAGGCACCACAGGAAGTGGACCTGGTCGAGCCCCGACGGTTCGACAAAAAATGAGATTGACTTCATTATGACGACCAGACGACAACTGTTCAGTGATGTCTCCGTGATCGCGAGGGTGAAAACTGGTAGCGATCACCGAATGGTTAGAGGCACACTGAACCTAAACGTTAAGTTGGAGAGGTCTCGTCTAATGAAGTCAACGCTCCGTCTCCCTCGTGCTCTAATCCAAAGTCCCGAAACCTTTCAACTCGAGTTACAAAACCGTTTTCAGTGCCTAGAAGACTGCAATGAAGTGGACGATATGAATGACAAGCTCGTGGAAACTGTCCATGCGGTCGGAGCTAAGTTCTGCAAGACCCGCCGCAGAAGAACACAAAAACTCTCCGATCACACTCTTAATCTCATGGCTGTTAGACGGGAGATGAAGCTACATTCTTCAACAGACTTGACAGCTTACAGGCATCTGAACAGACAGATCTCCAAATGCATGCGGCGGGACTTACGCAACTTCAATACAGCTCGTATTGAAGAAGCGATCGAGCGGAACCAAGGCTCCAAAGTCTTTGCCAGAGATCTGTCTGCCAGAAAGAGCCAACTGTCAAAGCTGAAGACAGAATGTGGCAGCATCGTTTCCGGGACACCTGAGATTTTGAGTGAGATTGAGAGGTTCTATGGGCAGTTGTACACGTCATCGTTGGAGCCACACGCAAGTGTGAGTAAACTCCAAGAGCGAGTCTCATCCGACACTATTCCGAAGATATCCCGGACGTCAGTCTGAGCGAGATTAGAATGGCTCTCCAGCACCTTAAAAACGGTAAGGCCCCAGGCGAGGATGGAATTACAGCGGAGCTTCTGAAAGCGGGTGGAAAACCGGTATTTGAAGTCCTTCAGAGGCTCTTTAATTCCGTCCTTCATGGTGGCATTACACCGGAGGCGTGGAGCAGATGTGCGGTGGTCTTGTTCTTCAAGAAAGGTGACAACGCTCTCTTGAAGAACTACAGACCGATTTCCCTTCTGAGCCGCGTCTACGTGCTGTTTTCGAGAGTCATTACGAATCGTCTCGCGCGCAGACTTTACGACTTCCAGCCTCCCGAACAAGCCGGTTTCCGAAAGGGCTTTAGCACCATAGACCACATACATACCCTTCGGCAAATTGTACAGAAGTCCGAAGAGTACAATTTGCCACTATGTCTGGTGTATGTGGATTATGAGAAAGCCTTTGATTCCGTCGAAATTTGGGCGGTGCTGCAGTCCCTTCAGCGGTGCCAAGTTGACTGTCGGTATATCGAAGTGTTGAAGTGCTTGTACAGTAGGGCTACGATGACTATCCGAGTACAGAACCAAAGTACGAAACCTATCCAATTGCAGAGAGGTGTAAGACAGGGTGACGTCATATCCCCGAAACTCTTCACCGCTGCATTGGAAGACGTTTTCAAGCTTCTGGACTGGAAAGGATACGGTATCAACATCAATGGCGAGTACATCACTCACCTTCGATTTGCTGACGATATAGTCCTTATGGCAGAATCGCTAGAGGACCTAAGCACTATGCTCAATGACCTCAATAGTGTTTCCCAACGGATAGGTCTTAAGATGAACATGGACAAAACTAAGATCATGTTTAATGTCCATGTCACACCTATGCCGGTAGTTGTTGGGAACACTAAGCTCGAAGTTGTTGACGAGTATGTTTACCTGGGACAAATAGTCCGACTAGGTAAGTCCAACTTCGACCGAGAGATCAATCGACGGATTCAACTCGGTTGGGCAGCGTTCGGGAAATTACGGCACATCTTCTCGTCAGGTATACCTCAAACCTTGAAAACGAGACTGTACACCCAGTGCGTGTTGCCAGTGATGACATACGGAACTGAGACGTGGTCCTTCACTGCTGGCCGGATGAGGAAGCTCAAGGTCGCTCAGCGAGCTATGGAGAGGGCTATGTTCGGAGTTTCTCTGCGTGATAAACTTAGGAATGAGGATATCCGCAGTAGAACCAGAGTAACCGACATAGCCCAACGGATTAGTAAGCTGAAGTGGCAATGGGCCAGCCATATAGCTCGAAGAACCGACAACCGATGGGGAAGAAAGGTTCTCGAGTGGTAGCCTCGTACCGGTGGACGAAGTGTAGGGCGTCCCCCCACGAGATGGAGTGACGACCTGGTAAGACATGCAGGAAGTCGATGGATGCAGGTGGCTCAGGACCGTGCTTTGTGGCATTCTTTGGGGGAGGCCTATGTTCAGCAGTGGACTTGTGAAGGGCTGTAATGATGATGATGACTTACCGTATTTACTTTCATATGCATTTAGTAAAAAACTGTAATTTTTACATTACAAACAGAGACTTCAATTTTTTTTATTTGTATAGATTATAAATATAAATAGGTTTGTTCGTTTTGTGATACAGTTCGGTATTTTGGAACGCAATTGGAACTCTTTTTGCATTTTGGAACTCTTTTGACTCGGACACTTGAGCGCAGAGCCGAGGTCCATTTAGTAGTAGGTCAATGTTTATGATATTATTTTAAATGGTTTCAATAAAAAAAAAGCATGCATCATAATAAAAATACTTACATATGGAATATAACTCCATCTTTTTGTAAATTTTAAGTATTTTGACTGCTTTATGCACACGTGGTAGAACCATGCTGCAGCTATATTTCTGGTATAGTTGTAACATGAATGGGTCGGCTCGACCGGGGAAGGACCACGCTCCCACAGAATACTAGCGTAAAATAGCAGCTTAATTCTGCTGTGTTTCGTATGGTGAGTGTAGAGAACCGGAGACCCTTTTTACTGGAAACGAATCCGTTCCATCTTAGTCCTCACGGGTGACAACGCATCTGCATTTTGATTCCTCATCGAGGATAAATGTAGATGTCTTTGGGCCACAGCAACCACTTACCTTCAGGTGGACTGTGTGCTCGTTTGTCACCCTTATCCTATAAAAAAAACACGTTAACCGCACCGATCGGCATTTTTTAAAGAGCACCTATTTCGGCGGAAACGATTCTTGTAATGATAAAATCAATTTCGTAAACAGTTTTTATAAACGCACAAGCTTTTAAATCCAATACCTTGGCAGAGGGGAATAATTACGCCAGAGGAGTCCACTGGGTTAAATGGTCTAAAGGCGGCTGCTCACTTGCCTGCTGCAGGGGCAATCTAGGGTGTAGGAGTGGGAATGACCCTTAATAGCCTCCTTAATTGCGATGTGTGTATGAAAGCAGGGGCAATTTTCTAAGACGGCCCTGCGGCAGAGCGACATGAGCGCAAGACCTTCCTTGCTCCCTAGATCACAGCTACCGCTTCCACGTGTGTAGCGCAATTAAGGCAATTTCAATCAGTTCGTTAGCGACTTTCGCGCGCAGCACATGTCACAATGGATACTAATAAAAAATATGAAATTCGGACACTGATGATAAGTGTATAAAGAGCAGCTTCTTCACCCAGTATCTTCTTTTTGTCTTTTTTTGTGGTAGCACTGCAGAAAGAACGTTATTTGAACGTCGTAACGTTTCTAAACCCTCTCCCGCTGGATGTCTGGTCAGTCAGACGTGTTAACGAGAACTCCTTGCAAATTATTTCTTCAAGTTTTAAATAAAATACTGTGTGTGTGTGTGTGTGTGTGTATGTATGTATGTATGTGTGTGTGTGTGTGTGTGCGTGTGCGCGTGCGTGTGCGTGTGCGTGTACGTGTGCGTGTGCGTGTGCGTGTGCGTGTGCGTGTGCGTGTGCGTGTGCGTGTGCGTGTGCGTGTGGGTGTGCGTGTGCATGTGCGTGTGCGTGTGTGTGTGTGTGTGTGTGTGTGTGTGTGTGTGTGTGTGTGTGTGTGTGTGTGTGTGTGTAAATTATAATGTTTGTATCTTTTCTCTGCTTTCAGCAATGGAACATTAATGATTTCACTGATCATCCCACCAAAGGATCAGATCTCGCGAGTCTCTAAAATGTTGGCGGATGAATTTGGAACAGCCTCTAACATCAAGTCACGTGTTAACAGGCTTTCTGTGCTTGGAGCTATCACCTCTGTGCAGCATCGACTCAAACTTTATACTAAAGGTAACTGAAACCTTACTGACTAACACAGTGACATTTTCATATACATACTAGCTAGCTTGGCAGACACTGTTCTGCCTTCCCGGTAGGTTGCTCGATGATTTTTACTCCGAATTTTTGAATAACTAAATACAAAACTTATGAATAACTCTACCACAGTAGTACAGCAGGTCCTGTTTAGCATTTTTTTGGCACTAATCCTACATTGTTAACAAAGTGAAAATTAGTCATTTTGTTCCATTAATATAGAATTTGTTAAAAACATGACTACAGCACTATTTATTGGATCCTAACATAAATATGAATCATCTTGACCAAACCAAAAATATATTATGCTCATTCATTGAAGTGATCTAGGAGTTACACTATACATAATATAATACATACATTATATAATATAGTAATGATATTCAGTATCATTTATAGTGATCATATGTTAGCAAAGAAATGAGGTCAAAGTTGATGGTTATAAATTTGGAGACTGTCATTGTCTTTTATATAATATGTAAAGCAATTAAAAGTAAAAAGCATTGCCATAGATCTTGATTTAAATATACTGAATATCTTTTATTTATTAATTTATTCAGCCAAACTTACCACTAACATTACATGACCTAATGCGCTAGTGAAAACAGTAAACATTTTAATTATTGTAACATATTATAAATAATGCAGCCCTTGTGAATTCACTCACAGAACATACAAATATGTCAACTTCCTCATGGATAAGGTTAAGTAGTGTGGTGGCACGAGTGCTTAATATTTAATCAGAATATTCTACGATTCTCCCTAATCACCAACTTTTCCTTGACCTGTCTGATTGATGGACTAGACTCTGAAGGCTGACTGATGGTGAGAAGTTCAAATATTGCTGCACTCTTTCATAGACTGGAGGTGGTCAAATTCTTGGAAAAGCCATGACAATGAATAAATTGTTTATGTAAAAAAAAAACAAAAATATAAGGGTGAAGGTTGGGGTGGAATTTGTGGCTATAGGTGACAGCTACTTACGCTGTGCCACTGATTGCAAGCCATGTTTTAGCTTGCCATAGCAATATAATCATGTTTTTTTTTATTGCAGTGCCACCAAATGGTCTAGTCATCTACTGTGGTACAATTGTTACTGAGGAGGGAAAGGAGAAGAAAGTGAACATTGATTTTGAGCCATTCAAGCCCATCAATACATCCCTGTACTTATGTGACAACAAGTTCCATACTGAGGCCCTCACTGCGTTGATGGCTGACGACAATAAGTTTGGCTTCATTGTGATGGATGGTAATGGAGCGCTGTTTGGTACACTGCAAGGAAACACTAGAGAGGTAAGATGGTCCTAAGGTAAGACATATAAAATTGTCTACCATATTAGGTATGTTTTTACTTCTTCGCCAGCCTGATAAATTCAACTGCCACTACAAAGGTTTGCCATTTTGCATTAATGATTGGCATACATATTGATGATGACAATCTGATATCACATTGTTAATGTTGTACCCCCTAGCCGATCTGCGTATTTAACGAGTGGCGCAACAAGATGGTGATGGAATGTTGAAAAAAGATTGATGTTTCCGTCTAATGCATTGCAAAAAATACATTGATGTTTTCCATACATCAATTGTTTTTTAAACACCTAACACTACAGCAAATTTTATAATGGATTCCTACTTAATAATTTCGAGGATCAAACGAGCACCTTACTAATTTAATGAAAACAATATATGCACTCTTTATTTGTTTTCCCTGAGGTACTTTGCATTTTTAAAAATTTTTACGGCTTGATGCTTGGCTAGTATCACTTATTTGACAGTTGACGCTGATTTTTCACCCATGGGGGAAAATGTTGTGATGCATACTATTACACCATTACTATATGGTCATTTCATAGCACAAAAGTGTTCTATCCCAGCATGTCCACTGAAAATTGTAATTTAATTGTTTGATTATCATTAGTATTGAGAAGGGAAACCTGTACGTCAGAGAAGCAACAATATTTTGAAGATATGTCATGTTTTCCAACACACATTGTTACAGTGCAATAGACCCTTACGTGCTCAAAAAACTTCGAGAGGTCAGAGAAGGCGTGTGCCCAGCTATTGGTCGAATTATTAGTATAATAATCATCATTAAAGCCTCTCAAAATTCCACTGCTGAACATAGGTCTCCCTTATATGGGTAATATTTGACATAGTTGCTTCGCTTGGCAGATGGGGATCCGGATGGATGTATGAATACTAATATTTTTTGTTTTACACTAATTACTGATTTTCTTCTTATATTATGTATTTTCATTGTTATTAACTATCAACCATTGATTGACTTGTTGGTCAAGTGGTCATCAGCTTCACTGCTGATCACGTGTTCCTGGGTTTGAATGCTTGATCTGGTCCAAATCAGTAATTATATTTTTGTGTCCAAGCCAGCCCAAGAAGTAGGCCATAGTCAGGTAATTGGTGGTGTTTCACCCCTGTGCTTTGGAAAGCAAAAAGCCTTTTGGTCTGATTTCTCTCCAGACAGACTACAGACTTTGAATACCAGCGTAAAACAGCAGCTTAACACTACTGTGCTTCATATGGTGAATGTAGAGAACCGGAGACCCTTTTTACTGGAAAAGAGGCATTCCATCTTAATCCTCACGGGTGACAACACATCTGAATTTTGATTCGCAAACGAGGATAGATGTAGATGTCTATGAGCCACAGCAACCACATACCATCAGGTGGACTGTGTGCTCGTTTGGCACACTATCCTATAAAAAAAGACAATTTGCATTGCTGTCTCATCGGACAATTAGAGTGAGGGAATAGAGATGCACTTGTTATTCCGTCCTGCACAGATGGCTATTGAGGTTGGCCGTAGTGACCGAAATTAGTTTTGAAGCACATTATTATTAAGTAAAGTTATTATAAAAAGAAATATCAACTTACAGGTGCTCCACAAGTTCACTGTAGATCTGCCGAAGAAGCACGGTCGTGGTGGTCAGTCTGCGTTGCGTTTCGCCCGTCTCCGAATGGAAAAGCGTCACAACTACGTGCGCAAAGTTGCAGAGGTTGCTACACAATTGTTCATCAGTGCAGACCGTCCCAACGTAGCAGGACTGATTTTGGCGGGTTCCGCTGACTTCAAGACTGAACTGTCCCAGTCCGATATGTTTGACCCAGTAAGTCTAATGCAAGTTTATCTTTACTTTATGGCTTTTCTTATTATACTTCTGCCAATGTCAAGTCAGAGTGACAATAAAGTAAATGAAAACTTGTCATGTATACTTAAATAATTGTTTTGTAAGAGCTTTCTAATCTACAACAAAAGACAAAACAAACATTTAATATCCTGCCACCAACAATGATTTATTATTAGTATAGATGAAATCACATGAAATATGAACAAATGAGGAAAACACAAGGGACAGACGTCTACTTACAGAAGACGTTAAAATTATTAAGGAAACTCATGATCATCATCATCATTTCAGCCCTTCACAAATCCACTGTTGAACATAGGCCTCCCCCAAGGAATGCCGCAAAGCACTGTCCTGAGCCACATTAATTCATTAACTTCCTGCATGTCTTACCAGGTGGTCACTCCATGTAGTGGGGGGTCACCCTATACTTCGCCTACCAAAACGAGGCGAATGAAGCTCTACACAAGTTAATTAAAATAGATCTGAAAATTGCTGAACCAATCAAACGGCAGAATCCCCGAATGCAAGTTAATAAGAAGAGGTGTGGGTGTTATTTGTTCTACCTACTTTATCAACTTAGTCACCATTGTATTAATCCCCTTAGGTAATGCAACAAACCTCAGCAATTCTTAATAGGTTCTTATTTATTTATTCTTAATTGTACACTTTAATTAAAGGGATTATCAGTAGCGGCACGAAAGTCTAGCGGTGACCGTTATTGCGCATAAGGTATCATGGGGTAGTAAGCGGGTCGTGGGGTGGGCGTGCGTCGTTCGCACGCGCTAATTGGCTCTCCAGCTATCCCCTCCACGTTTAGTTCAGCGCTAGACTTTCGTGCCGCGACTTGTACAAAGGGTGGACTCATGCCTCGTGGTTCACCTACAATAGTAGACTATCGAATATCACACGTCAGTGTATGTTTCGTAATACTTGTATGAATATTGTGCACTCTCATTTACTCCGGTACAGGCCTTATAACAGTGCCGTGTTCTGGTCTGACGGGTATAGAGGCCAGTAAAATTATAGGCTGTCAGGCATTCCATCTTAGACAGAGATCTATAGATCGTACTTTGACTTAGCTCACACTTAACTTACGAAAAACTTTGCTTAGTATATGCTTAGCATAATCTTAGATTCTGACTTTATAGCTGTATCGGGCTAAGATTAAGCTAAGCTTATGCTAAGGCCCAGACAGTCCAAATATTAATTAATGGATGCTTCATTCCACGCATTATGTTTTTGACTTTACTGTATAAAATTAAAAAATATGTATATTCAAAATCAAAATTACTGTATAAAATTAAAAAGAAATATATATATTTAAATCGAAAAATAGTCCAAATTGTATTTCATAAATTATTTATTATTACATGAAATACAAAACGGTCGTATGAGAACGGGAACAGATGAGATGAGTGCAAAATCAGAAAAAAAGAAAAAATAAGATTTAAATTACGTAAATAGAAAATGGCCTAAAGCTATTTAACCGATTCGTTGCGGCACCAATTTTCGACAACTTTTAGCTGTGGCGGCAAACAAATATTTCATAACACGCCTGGCGTAACAGACAAGCCATGTGTAAAAGTAATGTTCTTTTTTATGCTTTATTTACTTGTTTAGACCTAATTAAGTTTATTTGACATCAAACATAAGTTACAAATGGAAGGATACTTGTTTCTAGTGGGTAACTACTTGTTTTTTTACGCGTGTTCTTTGAAATTGAGAGAAAGTGACTTTTTTATGAAGAGATTACAAACCTTTTGTATTATTTTTTGTTGTTAAAAAAAAATCATTTATATAAGTAGGTACAGCTAAATCACCCTGGAAACCTTGGTTTTTATTAAATTAAATTTTCACCTAATAATAACATTTGTAAATATCAAACAATGAAGAACCTTAATTTGAAAAAAAAAAGGTGTCATTCATTGATATTTACAAATGTTAAATATTATTTAATGTTATACAAATGTAAAAGTAAAGTCGATCTGAAAATGTCTAATTAGTAAGAATAGCAAAACGAATGTTTTCAAAAGGAAAAAAACGCCGGCACTATACGGCGGCGGCTTGACAAAAGACTATTTATTAGCGAACTTTTTTATGCATGACCGGTTTCAAACTGTTTCAAGCAAAAATATATACAATAAGACAAACGCATTGTTTTTTTTTTGACAGGAGACTTGTTTTCCAGAAATTTATTTACAATTTGATTTTGTGAGCGATCGCAATAAGTGCTATTATTTTTTACTTATTCGACAATTTTTCCATAATATGATTACAAACATAACCCACAAAGTAAAAATAGTACCATGTACACGTTAAAAAAAGGTTGTCGACCCCTAAAAATTTCAAATTTTCAAAATATTCAGAAACGAAGCTGCATGCATGAACTACTCGCAAAATAATGAATATTTTGGTCTGGATAAATTTTCCAAAAAAGCAATTTGAGCGAGTTATAACAATTTTTAAAAAGACTCGACTCGCATGTCATACGCCAAACACAAAAGTAATCGATGGCACGCCTGGCGTGTCACCCACACTGAACCGGTTAAAACTAGAAGACGGCCTAAAACTACCTATTTATTATTATAATTAATTAGAGTAACATAAAAACAACAATTTAAAAATGGTGGTTTTGAATAATATACTGAGTTTTAGGTAAGTTGTCGATATCGTTGACTTAGGCTTTGCTAAGCGCGCACTCAGCATGACTTCGAAGTTAGCTCTATAAATACTGACATTTTCTTAGCTTGAAAGTAAAGTCTGAGCAAAGTCAAAGTACGGTCAATAGATCTCAGCGTTAGACTTTAGATGTAACAACGCATCTGTGGCCTACTTTGTTTGAAGTTGGCCGCAAGGGTCCATAGACTTCAGTAGCCACTTGCCATCAGGGTTTTCAGTTTGTTTTTAGGGTTCCGTACCCAAAGGGTAACCAACGGGACCCTATTATTTAGGCTCTGCTCTCTGTTCGTCCGTCCGTTCGGCTGTATCTCATGATCCGTAATAGATAGACAGTTGAAATTTTCACAAAATGTGTATTTCTGTTGCCGATATAACAACGAGTAATAAAAATTATAATAAATTAAAGATTAAAGGGGGCTCCCCTACTAGAAACTTGTGTTACGATGGTACGGCTACAGAACCCTTTATGCGCGTGCCAGACTCGCACATGGCTAGTTATCTACTTGTATCATCATCATCATCATCATTACAGCCCTTCACAAGTCCACTGCTGAACATAGGCCTCCCCCAAAGAATGCCACAAAGCACGGTCCTGAGCCACCTGCATCCATCGACTTCCTGCATATCTTACCAGGTCGTCACTCCATCTAGTGGGGGGACGCCCTACACTTCGCCTGCCGGTACGAGGCTGCCACTCGAGAACCTTTCTTCCCCATCGGTTGTCGGTTCTTCGAGCTATATGGCCGGCCCATTGCCACTTCAGCTTACTAATCCGTTGGGCTATGTCGGTCACTCTAGTTCTACTGCGGATATCCTCATTTCTGAGTTTATCACGCAGAGAAACTCCGAGCATAGCCCTCTCCATAGCTCGCTGAGCGACCTTGAGCTTCCTCATCCGGCCAGCAGTGAAGGACCACGTCTCAGTTCCGTATGTCATCACTGGCAACACGCACTGGGTGTACAGTCTCGTTTTCAAGTTTTGAGGTATACTTGTATAAAAAAAGTTTATTCTCTTAATCTATATTCAATACCTCATATTTCAGCGTCTCCAATCCAAAATCATCAAGCTGGTGGATGTGTCATACGGAGGAGAGAATGGTTTTAACCAGGCCATCGAGCTCGCGGCGGAATTGTTGCAGAACGTCAAGTTTATTCAGGAGAAGAAACTGATTGGGCGCTACTTTGAAGAGATCTCACAGGTGAGTCCTCTTTTACAACAATTTTTATTAATTTGTTTTTATCTCTGTTTGTCTGTTTATAACAAATTTTGCAATCGATTTTAAACTCTCTGGTCAGATACAGAAGTGAAAGTTTAGACATAGCCGGGTACTGGATGACAAAGCAAAATTTGCTTACTTTCTTGTCCATTTTTTTTAAAAATTTTAAACTAACTATCCACAGGCTAGAGACTTGAAACTTATCTCAGAACTGGATAAAAATGCAAAATAAACTTATCTGGTTATTTGTTTCAATTTCAAACTAATATCCCAATAAGCTAGAGACTGAAAATTTAAACAACGCTCAGAACTGGATGATAATGCAAAACTTACTTATATTCTTGTCTGTATCTTTGTTTTGATTTTAAACTAACTTCCTGATGACCGGACTTAAAATTTTAATGTTGCTTAGTTGGAACTCATTAATTATGTTGCCCTTTATGTTTTTTCTGCATACTGAAATCGCAATTTAATCTGTTTATCATGGCGATTGCGGAAAATTTATTCTATCAAATAGAACCATATCCCAGCACTGCAGATAGATCACAAGGTCGCTTTCATCAAAGCTTAATGTGATCATTATGATTTTAATTGCATACACGCAGGACACGGGCAAGTACTGCTTTGGAGTGGACGATACACTGCGCGCCCTTGAACTTGGCTCTGTGGAGACGCTCATCTGCTGGGAGAACCTTGACATACAGAGGTGAGGAATGTTATGTGTGCAATATTACCACAATCTGGATAATAGCTGGCCTGGTAGACGTTGTTCTGTTCTTTTCGATAGGTGGCGCTTTGAATTTTATTTCGAATTCATTTTGGGCGTTTACATATTAATAATTCAACCATAGTGTCACCCGACATATACTGTGTATATGAGTTATTCTACTCTATAAATATAGAATTTTTTAATAAGTTTATTACAGTGCCACCTTTCAGATCCTAGCATAGTTATCAACCATCATCTCCACAAAACAAAAATATTGTATGAATATGACTGATGGAGGTCAAGTCGTTCAGAATTTACATGATCACTAAAAGATGCACCTACAATTATATAAATAAAGATTAAATACTGTGAAGTGGCAGTCTATTTGTGAAAAGTCTCTTTGTATACGTCATACGTGGTAGATCCATGGTACAGCTATATTAAGGCGCAGGTTGAGCAAAATGTCGCGCTAGTCATTATTTGGGCGATTTTTAGGAGCTATCTACTTTTTATTTAAAAGATATATCAACAAATAAAAAACACATTATATTTCTACATAATCTTGATTCCATAAAAGCTATATCCAATTTTTTTTTAAAGGAATACATATTAATATAATCTCCTTACAACGAAACCACATAAATGTGAAATTATTATTGATAACATGCATCTCCTCGTAAAGTAAGTATTATTTTGTTTTGCGATTTACACCAATGGATAGGCGATTTATTAATGAACATTTCTATAGTAAAATTTTTTTCAAAAGACCAAAATTTGATTTTATTAAGAAATTATTTTAAAATCTGGGCGTATATACTGCTCACGGGCTTGATGAAGTCAGTGAGCGCTGAGCTCTTCGACGGGAAGCCCGTGTCGTTAGAGCGTCGACCGACGCATACGCCACGTCATATGAGTCGATAATATTATTACTTATTAGGTTATTTATAGGTAGTATTATTTGTTTGTTTTGGGTATAATTTTTCGTATTAGTTATACATATATTTGTTGTGTTTTTTACTGCGCGATGAAGATTTTTGCGTGTATTTTCTTTGAAGTAAATGCAAATAAAAAAATGAAGCACCATTAGCATGTAAGGTTCGAATCCATAATTAAAATTTCGACAAATATTATAATTTACACTATAAAAGGCTAATTCAATATTATCACCCAACCACAATATCTTATCAGGTATACTACTGCCTCGTTGGTCTAGTGGTTGTAGTAGTGCGACTGCTGATCATGAGGTCCCGGGTTCGAATCCTGGGTTGGGCCAAAAAGTCAGTTATGAGTTTTTCATTTATGTTCTAAGTTATAATTAGTATTACTAAGTTATAGTTTTTTGCTAAAATATAGTATATTATTTATTGCTTGTTTTTTCTTCTTTTTCAAAAAATAATTGAGTACATAAGGTGTTCTATACTTATATCTCGGTAAAAAGTACTAATATACCTACTTTTTACTATAAACTAAAAAATTTTAAAACTAAATTTAACTAAAAAGACTAAGCTGACCATTTATTTTTTAACTCATAACAGGACATGGGTTTATTTATACTCTAAAAACTATAACTTTATACAATTAGTGTTCACTATAAAATTATATTCGGTATAGACGGTAATTATTAAATGCAACATATTTTTTTTAATTATTAATTACATTTGTCAGTGGATTAAATTTGCTCTAATAAAGTTGGTGATGATTTTAAATAAGAATAAAATTCTGCTCAAGTTTTTTATTGTTATCTTTGTTAACAACATCGCCTTTAGAACTCTGGAACCGTAAGTGTTTCTTTCAGACGTCCACAATTTATGCAAAATAAAAAAATACTCTTTCTACCGGAGCATTCGTACCAGGTAGACATAAAATATATTCGATAAAAAAAAATTATGTTGAAGATTGTTGACTTTGAATACTTCCATCCAACGAGTTACGGGACAATTTTGTGTCCCGGTGCTTTGTTTGGGGACAATGGGACAGGAGACCGAGAAAAGGGACAGTCCCGTTCAAAACGGGACGTATGGTCACTTTAGCTATAACCCGGCGACCATGAAGCAAATACAAAGTTAGTCTTTGTATTAGCTTCATGGTGGCGCAGTGGCTTAGCAATCAGTTGTTGCGCTGGGGGCCGCGGGTTCGAATCCCGCATGGAACAAGATTTGTATGGCCTACAAATAATTGTTCCGGGTCTGGATGTTTGTCTTTGTGCAATTTATGTTTGTAAACTGCCTCCACGACACAGGAGAAAATCCTAGTGTGGGTGTAATGTTTTTTTACAACTGAAATTGAAAGATTGAACCCTTATACTTCTTGTTGATTTTTGTATTTATATATTTTTTATTGCACCAAATATTTGTACAAAAGCCGAGTTATCTATTTATTTACCTATAGTGAATAGGTATCTTTTAAACTCACAATTTTCAATGCTTCCGTTTATATAATTAATTATAAAATTTCATAATTAGATAATATATGAAAATACATAATTCTAATATAATGCAACTAATATATACAGAATAAAAAAATTAAAATACATTTATCTTTGTACGCTATGTGTATTTCCATAAAACAGTTTATTGATGTTGAAAAAATAATACTACTTTCGTACAATAGGTGGCGTCTTACATATTTCTTCCGGCGAGCCGCTCGCTACAATATACTCGTATTAATATTGTAGCGAACGGCGCGCCGGTCAAATGCTCAAGGTCGTTCGCATGGAGTAGCCCCTTAATAGTATAGTTGTAGCACAAATAAGTCGACTTGACCGGGGAAGGACCACGCTGTCACAGAATACCAGTGTAAAATAGCAGCTTAACACTGCTGTATTTTGTATGGTGAGTAAAAAGAACCGGAGACTCTTTTTATGTAACTGGAAATAAGGCATTCCATCTTAGTCCTCACGGCTGACAACGCATCTGCATTTTATTCGCAAACGAGGATAGATGTAGATGTCTAAATCCTAAAACTAGATAACGTAACACTTATTTTGGGTAACAACCAAAGCCTTGGAGAAGCCATTTTGTCCCAAGACCAATGAAATAAAGAAATATTTTAAATATATGTATAATAATGGAAAAATAACAGTGTAATGGTGAATTTAGGATGAATACTTAGTCCCTGTGCTACCACCATTCTTTCACGAACCAAGCGGGTTCACAACCGCATTTTTTTAATTTTAGTTGGTATTAGGAAGGTGCTGCTGCCCATTTCCTGATTTGTTTCATTCTGTCGCCTCTTAGGACGTCCACGGGACGATACGGTGTAGTGTATATTCTTAGAATAAGGATGACAAGCGAGCACACAGTCCACCTGACCGTAAATGGTTGCAGTAGCTCATAGACATCTACATCTATCCTCGCTTGCGAATCAAAATGCAGATAGATGTGAAGTAAGAAAGATAGTTTACGTGGTAGAGCCGTGTAGCAGCTATATTGATAGTTAATTGTATAGTTGTAGCACGAATGGGTCGGCTCAACCGTAAAATAGCTACTCAATTCTGTGTTTCTTATGGTGAGTGTAGAGAACCGGAGACCCTTTTTACTTCTACATTCAATCTTAGTAATCACGAGAGACAACGCATCTGCATTTAGATTCGTAATCGAGGATAGATGTAGATGTCTATGGGTCACAGCAACCACTTACCATCAGGTGGACTGTGTGCTCGCTGGTCACCCTTATCCTATAAAAAAATAAGGAGTTAAAGTTTCATCACTTTCCACGTGCACAGGAATGTATTTAAACGTGAAATAAAATAAAATTAGTTTTGAATTTTTTTATTATTTCCCGTTCTGGTAACCCTAGCAATTTATTGTTCATGTTGGCTTTTTCGACAACATCAATGGCGAATCACGCCTTTTTTCAATTTTTTTGTTCTTTATTAATGTTGTAGAGAGTTAAACCATCTGAAATTGAATGAATCACTTTTCTCATAACTGCAAAGCTAGCTTTCTGTTTTCACTCCAAGGTATGCAAATATTTTATAAACGATGTATATGATATTTCAGATACGTTCTGAAGTCGCATGCCGCCAACCAGGTGACCATTTTGCACTTGACACCTGAACAAGAGAAGGACAAGTCCCACTTCACCGATAAAGACGTAAGGCTCGGAGCTTCCATGATTAGTCACGTTTTTATTTGTTGCTTTTAAGGATCTTGTAGCTGCGAATAGATTTATTCGCCGCGAATTGAATTGAACATGTTTAATTTTAATATGCGAACGTGCACTCGCCGTGAGAATTCGCTGTTTGTGACTGGTACTCGAAGTGAGTAGCCATTCCGCTCAGCGCGCTTCTCTTAGACTACAGGTCGTTTCGGCACTGCATAGTGTATAGATACGTGTATGTACGATATACGAGTCAAGCGAATAATTTTTATTAAGATTTACTAAAGTGAGGAAACTACGCTATAATTGGCTTCTTGGGTGTGTATAGAATCGAGGATGCACATGCCAACCGAATACACTGTTTTAGACGTGAGCGACGAATAGATGACATATTTGTATTTGGGGCACCAATGTCGAAATTCTCGTGTAGAATTCGCTGTGTGTGACAACTGCGGCAGGAAGCGAATATTCGCTGTGTGACGGAGGCTAAACCCAGCTTAGTAGTGCGCGACGCGACTACAAATGCTTTCGTTAGAATCTTTTGACACATTAAAATGATTAAGGGTATGTTCCGAAATACACTTGTGACCTGACCACTTTAAGGTGTGACGTCAATTCAGTATACTGTGAGGCCGTTTCTTTTTAGTTTGCTATACTGGTTACTGTTTAAAACGGAACGCAGTCCAGTATACTGTCATCCCTATTTTTCTACACTATTCTCAAATGAAAATATTTATCATGTACACGTTATCTATTCAACAAGAAAAAATATTATTTGAATGTTGTTGCCTTTAAAACTTAATGTCCGAGTTTATTCGAATAACAATATTAATTAATTAATAATAACAATCCTTCGTGTACGCTGTTAAATCTATAGGCGCTGTTATGTTTTTTGATCATGTGTTCAAAGTACTGAAAGCACCTTACCTCGAATTATGACGTAATATATTTCCCTAGGGTACTGCGGCAGTATACTGGCAATCCATAACGGAGCGAATTTTTCACCAGTGAGAACAATAAACAGTGTTCGCAGTGTATATCGGAACACGATCCAAAAAGGGAACGGATTCACAGTATACTGAATTGACGTCACACCTTAAAGTGGTCACAGTGTATATTGGAACGTACCCTTAATCACATTACTATAACACAGACAAATCTAAGTACAAGTATAGTTTGTTCGTCTGTGGTCGACTCATACCTACTGCCCTACTGTTTGTTAGCTGCACTGGCAGACTCATAAAAGCTTGAGTAGGGATGGGCAAGGGAAAAATTATATTGATATGATATCGCGTAATAAATTTGCGTGATGTAAGGATAAAGTCAAAAATTTAATATAACTGACAGTTGGACGACGACAAAAAACTAAAACCACACACATGAATGCTTTATACAATAACTATACAAATAAATAAAATTGAAGTGTCTGTTTGTAATGTTAAAATTACAACTTTTTACTAAATGCATATGAAAGTATATACGGTACTAACAACAATAATAACAAAAATACCATTTTTAAAGTTTTTGTCTCTGTCTGTCTGTCTGTTTGTTCCGGCTAATCTCCGAAACGGCTGGATCGATTTTGACAGGATTTTCACTGGCAGATAGCTGATATCACTATTTAAGAAAATGAATTAGGGTTCCGCACAAAAAAAATTAAAACCCCAAATAACACGCAGGCGAAGTCGCGGCGAACAGCTAGTTTTAGAATATATCGAAATGGATACGAGTACGATACTCTAAAATAAATATCGATATATCGTGATTAAAAATATCGACGATTTATATCGACATTTTTATGAGAAAATATCGATATATCGATATTTTTGTACAAGCCTAAGTTTGAGTTTGGCTAAAACCTAGTTCATTAGATCAGTCTAGGTTCTAGACATTTTTTTTAAACAGTACCACAGTTAGAAAATTAATGTTGAACTGATTTGATGTCTATGTGGTGAGACCACTTTTCTGCCTACAAGTCTGTCACGGTTGGTATCACACACTTATTTCTGTCGCCAGATATCGGTATACACTGTTGTGTTCCAGTCTGACGAGTGTAGAGTCCGTATAATATAGTTACTGGCTGTCAGGCATTGCGTCTCAGTCCTCAGAGTTGACTCTATATCTGAAGACTTCTTCGTTCCAAGTTTGTTTGCATAAGATTAAGATTCCACTTGCCATCAGGTGGACTGTAGGTAGGTTTGTCACTTAATTTTTATAAAAAGAAGGCACTTGTTTGTTTTAAAAGTTGTATCTCTCCAGATTTCATGGGTTTTAATGTTTTTTTACGCAGAGCCCTAATTATTTTTCTAAAATAAAACAATCCTAATTTACTCCTTAAAACATCAGCGATCTGAAAGTGAAAGTCCCCGTCAAAATCGTTACAGACGTTTCGGAGATTAGTCGGAACAAACAGACAGACAAAATTTTATAAATTGTTTTTTTTTGTTATTAGTACGATGGATACTTTCACATATGCGTTTAGTAAAGAGCTGTTATTTTAACATTACAAACAGACACTTCAATTTTATTTATTTGTATAGAGTATAGATATAGATTTCTTACAAATGTTGGTTTGTTTTTATAGAGCGGTGTTGAGCTTGAGTTGGTGGAGTGTCAGCCGTTGCTTGAGTGGCTCGCCAACAACTACAAGTCCTTCGGAGCCACACTTGAAATCATCACAGACAAGAGTCAGGAGGGCAGTCAGTTTGTGAGAGGATTTGGAGGTATTGGAGGTCAGTGTGCATTTGTATTACTTGTATTGTTACACACACGGTATGATAGCTCAGCGCCGAATGACTAAGACATCGAGGACTTAAAGTGAAGCTCTTGGTTTAGTGACCACAAAGTTTGAGAAACTACATTTCAGAGGAAATTAATTCTTGAAGCCATTGTGTTATTGTTTTTTTTTTGTGTAATTCTGATTTAACTACATGATCAAGTTGCTCTTTAAAAGAGGGGGGCAGTTTTATTGTAGAATAAGTGAAGATAAACAGTTTTATAAATGGAATTTTATAGCGGTTAAGTTGCAGTCCATACCAAACAAAGTTTAGTGTTGCTTAGCTTACAATCTCAATGCTACTTTTGAATATGAATATGATTAAAATAAATTAAAAAAAAACCTTTAAGCTACCAGAGTGTCTGTGTCTGATATTATTATACGAATTTTTTTGAGAATATGTTAAGACTTCTAATTTTAAAAGAAAAGTGGCTCCATCGTTTAACCAATGATTCTCTGATAGATACAATAGATAATAAGAATAAATTTCAAAATAATACAGGAACTAAACTGACTAACTGTATCAGTCTTGCTAGTAACAGAAATTGAACTCTACACATCTATCTACTCTATAATATGAACCGAATGTCCATCTGTCCATCGCTAATATAGCTATCTGATTTCTGTGACACGATAGTGATAAATTTGTTCAAGCCGTGTAACACTCGAGCAAGCAATTGTTATACTACACAAGTTTAAATATTATACTATTGGCTACTTTTTGTTTAGCGTCAATGTATTGTAAACAAAGGGTTTTGTGCCATTTTGGTAGAAGTGTTGGGAATAGTACTGTGTATTATATAATGTACGTAATTTGGATATTTATGTTAAATATAAATATTTGTAGCTGAGAGGTACAGGATCATAAATCTCAATCAATAGTTATCATCAAAAATTAAAATAGAGAGATTAACAAACAATAATAATATCCATTTGATCCCGGGAGTGTCATAACATGGAATGGAGTATAAGAAAAGCAAGAAAAATCTCATGACTTCTGATATATGGTTTGTTTATCTTGATTTCGCCTGACATTACATACCCAGGCAACTTACTGAGCATGACGGTAAAGGCAAACTCTCTCCACAACGGGAGAGATCCTTAAGAATAACATTCAATTTTCTTCAGTCCACACATCATTTCTGAAACTGATGACCCATAAAGGTTGACTCACGGGGGTTTCAAATGAAACTCTATTCCATTACAGCCTATCGTAGGCTGAACATAGGCCTCCCCCATAGATTGCCATAGTGTCTACTCTTGGCAAGCGAGTTGGCAACTGTAGTTGTTTAATTTTTAAAAGACGCTGCTGCCCGTCTCCTGATTTGTTCCCCTCTGTCGCCTGTTACGAAACCCACAGGACCATATGAGGCAGTTGATATTCATACACCTCCACTTCACGGTAATTCCATTACAGCCTATCATAGTCCACGGTTGATCACAGGCCCCCCTCTAGGTCTCATAGGAGCTATATTATCTGTAGATGCAACGCTTGGCAAGTGCGTTGGCAACTGCAGTTTATTTTTCATTATTTTGAGATGATATCAGGAAGATGCTGCTGTCCATATCCTGTTTCAATTGACCTCTGTCCCATCTTACAAGATTTACGAAAAACCAACGAAATAGCTCTTTGCTGAATTATGAAATCGACCATTGCAAGTGTTACATTTAAACTTTATTTATCAGACCGTAGTCAACCGCTGGATGTGGACTTGTCCTTTATAAGGAAAGATTTGCTATAATAATATTCACATTGGTGATTGAAATATTAGAATGTCTCGCACCTCTGCCTGTTTGAGTATTTACATGTGCAATACGTGTTGCTAGAGGTGGTAGCACTTGTTGTCTGTCTTGGATTCTGAGGAGAGTAGGAGAAGGTAAGGAGAGCCAGTATAGTAACAGGCTGTAGGTTTTCCATTTTAGTTCTCAAAGGTAACAATGTATCTGCGGCCTTCTTTATTTCAAGTTGGCTGCGGATGTTCATGGGATGCAATAGCCACTTTTTTAATAGGAGGGTCACAATCGAGCACACAGTCCACCTGATGGTAAGTGGTTGCTGTGTCCCACAGACATCTACACCTATCCTCGATTACGAATTAAAGATGCGTTACCACCCCTGAGGACTAAGCACGAATGCCTCGTTTCCAGTAAAAAGAGTCTCCGGTTCTCTAAACTTACCATACGAGACACAGCAGTATTAAAGTCGCTAATTTACGCTGGTAATTTGTGAGAGCGCAGTCTTTCCCCAGTCGAGCTGACCCATTCGTGCTACGACTATACTACTGTATACTGTACACCTACCAACTGCTCAACTGTAAGTTCGTTTGTCTCATCAGTTTTATTAAAAAAAAATACGAGACTACAAATAACTTTCCATAGTCTCCTGTCGCGACACGCACGGGAAAAGACCGTGATGAATTCACGGCGTCCTAAGACACATTCAGAGTTTGGCTTCTTTTGCATACTCCTATTTGGTATTTGCTATGTAATTGTAAAATCTGTTTAACTGTGACTTATGATACTTTCCCTCTCGGCTGCATTCGTATGATATTTTATGTACGCTTTCGCCCTTATGACGGAACCCATAACTAATCCACATAACTAACATTTCTCTTCTGTTTCACTGCTGCTCGGATAACGCCGCCGGATATGACGGTATTCGTATTCATAAACTTTACTAAATTAATAAACAGGCATACTCCGCTACAAAGTGGACTTTCAATCTCTCCAATCCGACGAACCGCTGGACGACGTGGACCTCGACGACTATTAAAAAAAAAACAACGCATTTCAGCATTCAAAAAAAAAACGAAATATAGAAAAACCGACATTAACACAACATAAATAACGTTTAGTTTTAAGTGAACGCTTGCATGGTACATTTTAGTAGGTAACTTTCACTGGGATAGATAAACGGGTGGTTCGAACGCGGCGAACTTTTTTTTCTAATATAAGTTTTCAAAAAGTACGTAGTCGGTGTGTTTCTAATGTTATTCATTTGAGAGTTTGGTTTCGGGCAGTGAGTACGAATCCCGCTATATAAAATATTATTTCTGGAATTGGGTTCTGGGTCTGCGTGTAATTCATGTTTGTAAAGGTCTCTGCAATACAGGATCAAATTAAAAACAAAGAAAGTTTTAAAGAGTCGGGATGATTTTACCATTTTTTATTATTTAAATAATAATAAAATTAATTTAGAACAGTAAACCAACCAAGTTTTAAATCATTACGAAAAGTGGCAAATATAAATTATGCAATGTATTTATTAATTCTATTACCAAATTTAGGCGTTTTAAACTCGTTTAGTTATTATTTTAAATCAAAAAGTCAAAAGTCATTTCACATCACATACATATCAATTATTTTAATGTTGTGAAATAATTCTAACGTTTCGCTGGCTGCAAAAGATTTATCATATTAATCGATCGGATAAAAAACGCCGCGTTCGAACCGCTCGTTTATCACGCCATTAATATAATTTTTAAAGACGTTCCAATGAGGGGGACATCCGCAACTTTTTCTGCCGCCAGGGCGGCGCCACTTTGAAATGAGGTGAAATACTTGACAGATTTCATAGCGGGGAAGTTAATGTGTTCGAAAAATGTAAAGGTTAATGTTTCTTTTCATAATATTAGTTTTATATTTTGTATTAATCACATTAGAAATAAACAAACCAAGCTATTAAAAACTGAGTTATAAACGTGCAAAAAATTAAAGAGCAAACCACTGGGACATTGTTTTGTGTATTAATATAATACTCTAGAAAGTGATAAACTTTTATTTAAAACTAAATTCTCAGTTAAATGACATTGTGTAACATTAAACTTCACCTCAGTCGCAACTAGCGACATCTGGCGAGCAGGAGATTGTTAGCCCTCATTGACATTTCCGCATCGAAATCTTAACTACAGGGTTCGCTAGGTTGACTTCCTACAGTCGTTAATGCTTCATATAATCTATCAAAACTATCACAATTACTCAAATCGACTTTATGTGACTCTTCGTTTAGATATGCTATTCTCTATATTCGATTTAAACTATCTATATTCGATTTAAACTATGCCGTCGATTCCTTTGCTTTCTTCCGCAATCACGCCTTACACACTTTATTGTCGTTTGCACAGAACAATGGCTTCAGCAATAGTAATCCTTATCAAATAGAGATTTAACTTAGGTACCTGTTGCATTCAAGTCGAGAAGTCATTGATGTCGTATTTAACTGATAACGTGTTTTAACAAGTAGTTTGTAATTAGTGTCAGGTATTAACTAGTCACTGTGTCAATAGAGTAGTCCCACGGAAATATGCGCACTGAAATACTGTGACGCCGCGGCTGATCGCGCAAGACTACTGTCGTGAGAAATACTAATAGAGAGAAATATACGGCTTTATTCGTCGTCGGCGTCCATTAATTACGTCAGGTGTTGGAGACTGACGTATTTACACTAAAAATACGCATTTAAAAAATCTAAAGTAAGGTTTTGGGGAGTTGATGGTAAGGGGTCCAGAAATGTCTCATGACATCTCACCAGGAGGAGAGGGAGGGTAGACAAATCGCGAAAATCGCCTCACGAAATTAATGGACGTTTACTGGGCCTAAGCAAATTAAATAGCGTAGCACCAGCATTATAAAGGATTTATAATGCTGGTGTGAACTGTGCTATACTTACAGGCTGCAGTGTTTTAATGATATAAAATGTATTTCATATATGAATCCCATATATTGTGTATCTTCTCTCCACATATAATATGTATATGGAAATATTTGTCATGACGGGTTTATAATACCTTTGGTCAACTGTTCGTGTGTGGGCCGTGCTTATTAATTCTTTAGGATATTAAATAAACATTTTATGAATTGAATCATAATCTATTTGTAAGTAGCTCGTCTGTTTTCTTGAATGAAACTAATTTTACGGAACGAGAGTTGGGGTGGGAATTAGCCCGGGTTAAACTGTGACATCAGAACATTAAACTCTTCTGCCCCTTACTCTCCTGTGTACATGTAAAGTACTATGTGATTCAAATAACAATAGGACTGACCTTTGCAATAAATGTTTCTTTCTTTCTGAATTGCCGCCATATTTGTGACGTCATAGCTGTCAATTCAAATCTGGTAGGGTGAGCAAAACAGATGTTTTAAAATTATATTTATTTACAAAAGAACCACGAATGGGAGTATTAATCTGAATCTAGCGTTTCAATTTCGGCCATCTCTGCATCGCTGTCTGAGCCGTCATCATTGTAATCATTATCAGCACTACTGTTTTCGTTCGAGGTCATTGACGTTGCTATTCTTATTTGAATACCATTGTACTCAAAATGTCTAGAATCGCGATCGATTCCGTGAAATCAGTTTGAATCAGTGTTTATAATAATAATAATATTTTATTCAGACTCAGTCCATAGAGATGTTAGTATAACAATAATAATAATAATAATAATAATAAAATGAACAAAGTATACATTGTGCCGCTGGTGCTCTCCAGTACTGGTGTGATCCCGAAATGTTTGCCCCACTCCCTTAAACTATTAGATCTTCCTGAAAATAGTTATATTACCATGCAAAAAGCAGCCATCCTCAACACTTGTCGTATAGTCCGAAAATTTTTGCAAGAAGACACCTCAAACTTTGATTCCCAAAGGGACGCGCACTTGGCTTAGGCCCGTGAGCATTTCTTAAAAACCAAGATCTTAGAAAATCTTGAGAAAAAAAGGAGTAGAAAAGATAATAATAATAAAAAATGAAAAAAATAAGACTAGTGTTAGTATATGACTTCTTTTTCTTTATATTCTTAACTTAACAAATTAACCATCCCGCGTACATTACATATATCTTACTTATTTAGTTTTACATGTAGACTTAACCAATGCCTCATAATGGCTGAGTCCCACCTATCAGCAAGTGTGATTAGGATGCTGTTGGTAGAGTTACGCAGTTTAGTATTCGCGAAATATGTTAGGAATCGTTCGTCTCAAACTAACCACCATTAAAATTTGACGAACGAAACATAAAACTAGCTGCCATAATAAGATCATTGCATGTATGAAATGTCATATAAGCTATTTAGTACAAATTTTTTTTTTTGGTATGGAGGTAAATAATATTACAGTAGAATCTCGTTAATCCGTCATTGATAAAGGTGAAAGAATACTTGTTGAGTCTGTTAGTGATCGTTTAACTTATATACAACTTGACAGATTAAGTTTATACTCACAGATTATATTTTATTGAAGTGAAAACATCTTTAGGCACGTTGCGCACGATGGGGAAACGACTGAACTCGCGTGACCGTCACGCTCAGATAGATATATAAAAAAAGTTTGTGAAGCTAGGAACTTTTCACTACTGACGTGCAGTCCTACGACTGACAGTATTTTTTTTTTATTTTATTTATCATTTATTTTCGGACTAAATATATCGGTATAGGTACATTTTTTTTATAGGATTGGGTGACAAACAAGCACACAGTCCACTTGATGGTAAGTGGTTGCTGTGACCCATAGACATCTATATCCATCCATCCTCAATAAATAATCAAAATGCAGATGCGTCGTCACACGTAAGGACTAAGATGGAATGCCCCTTTTCCAGTAAAACGTGTCTCCGGTTCTCTACACTCACCATACGAAACACAGCAGTGTCAAGCTGCCATTTTACGGTGGTATTCTGTGAGAGTGTGGTCCTTCCCCGGTCGAGCCGACCCATTCGTGCTAGAACTATACTACTAATATAGCTGCAGCATGGCTCTACCATGTATAAACCAACGTTACATGCTGTGTTAATAAAACCTTAACAAAGACCGTACAAAACTATCACATATGGATATAAAACTTTTGGCTTGTCGGCTTACGGAACTCGATCGTGATGGTTTTGTATATTAAATGTCTGCACATGGTGTTATTTGGACACGGCGAAACAAGTATTCCGATGGTGACTTGATCCTCAGTTTTATCATTTTGAAATACCTTCGTCATCAACTGTCCGCTAAAGCTATCATCAGTCTCCCTAAAAATTTACAATAGAATGAATCAATATATTGTGAAGTATTTATTTTGTTAATAAGTTATTAAAAACGATAATGTTCAGTTACTTGACAGGCAGAAATACTGGTAACTGGTAATAAACGTGGTAGAGCCATGCTGCAGCTATATTAGTAGTATAGTTGTAGCACGAATGGGTCGACTCGACCGGGGAAGGACCACCCCTTTTTACTGGAAAAGAGGCATTCTATCTTAGTCCTCACGGATGACAACGCATCTGCATTTTGATTCGCAGACGAGGATAGATATAGATGTCTATGGGCCACAGCAACCGCTTACCATCAGGTGGACTGTGTGCTCGTTTGTCACCCTATCCTATAAAAAAAAATACTAATTGTATTTTATTTATTTATCTATAATATAAAAATGAATCGCTGAATGTGTTGCTAAGCGCACATCTCGAGAGCAGCTGAACCGATTTCACTAATTCTTTTTTTATAATATTCCTTGAAGTACGAAGATGGTTCTTGCGGAGAGAAAAGTTCAAAAAATTGCCTAAAAAAGTGTAAAAACAATACTTTTCTATATTCCCATACAAAAGATTCGTAATAATACTTAAAAGTCAATTTGAACTTTAATACCATACCATAAAGTAAGTGTTCCGGGAAGGCAAAACAATTGTGTGACGTTAGTATCGTATAAAAGAATCATGGGGCTTGGTTGGTTGTATTGGCTGTAGTTGGCTTCTTGCCTACAGAACATATGACTTCGAAGGTAAGTGTTAACTA